TCCACTAATAATACGAAGAAGAATTCTCCGTTGAATCTTTCTTAAATTTCTTTTGTTAACCTTCTTGGCAAGAACATGTTCCCAAGCACGACAGCCGTATGATATGAAAGGTACAATACACTGCTTATACATGAGTTTCTTAACATCGTAGCTTACTCCAAAAGTATTTTTGGCAATTCGGTGAAAGCCATTAATAATTTTTTCACATTTAGCAAAAGGAATTCAATGTGCTTTTTCCATGTTAATTTTTGGTCAAGAATGACACCAAGATATTTAACATTTTCTACAAATTCCAACGGAGAATTATCGAGCATCAAAGAAGCAATATTTTGTTCATCAAACGTACTGGGAACAAGCATAGCTTTACTTTTTTGAAGGATTGAAAGTGAGTTTATGAGAAATCGCCCAACTGGAGACAAAATCTAGAACTTCTTGTTCTCTCAAAGAATGTTATTCAAAATCCTTCCTTGGAAAATTAATAGTAAGTCGTCTGCAAACGCAATTTTTAAAAAACCGTCGAGATGACTTAAAAGATCATTTATGATTATGTTCCAAAGAGTAGGTCCGGATACAGAGCCTTGAGGACAGCCTTTTTCTAGAGAATAAACCTTAGCTTCGTTCCCAAGCTGAAGCTCAGCAGTCCTCTCGTTCAAGAAGCTTTTAAGAAGGTTATAGATATTATGTGGTATAACCAGCATCTTTTAAAATTTTTAAGATAGATGGCCACCAAGCATTATCAAAAGCTCCTTTGAAATCCAGGAAAATAAGAAGTGTAGTATACTTCATTTTCTTTGCACACTGCAAGATATTACAAAGGCGAATAATGGCGTCTTCAGCGGACTTCCGAGGAGTAAATCCGAACTGAGAATCATTATAAAAGCATTTTTGTCCCAAATACCAATTTATTCTGTTAATGAAGATAGTTTCAAGACATTTTCCCAAAGTAGGCAAAAGACTAATGCATCTAATATTATCAAGATAAGGGGTTCTGGTATCTAACGTTTTAGGAATCAAAACAACCCGAGCTCTCTTCCATTGTGCTGGAAAAACTGCTAATTGTAAACAAAGGTTGAAAAGTCTGTGTAGAAATGTGCTATCCACCACATGAAAGTGCTGTACCATTTGACATGTTATGTTTGAGACGTTAAACAAGGGAGATGAATACTATTTTTCTTTTGCTCAAAATTTTGTCTACCTGTAGAGACATTAGGTTATTTCGAAGCAGGAGATATGAAAAATGAGCAATGCCCTCTCCGGGAATCGAACCACGGACCACTCGAATACGCGCCGAGCGTGCTGACCACTACACCACGATGGTATGCTAAGAAGGCGGGAGAAATACCTTATAAACCTTTGGCAGAATTTAAAACTTTCACTAATGCTTTGAAGACTTTACTAATTAACTTTCAGTCCACTTTTAAGTTGTTTCGATTCTTTTTCTCCCGTACAATAGGATTTATTCTATGACTTAACCACTTTTTTTATTAGATAGGATAATTAGGATTCGCTCTCACACATGACCTTAAATTTAATTTTTATTTATTATTTTATTATTTTCCACTATATATAAGATTAAAAAAAAAGGTAAGAAAAAATCCTAACTTTTAATATGCAATACCGTCTTAACATTTTTTAATTATTTTCCCTTCCTATCTTAAGAACTTGTAGCATATTTGCAATAGATCTCTTCAGACTGCGTCATTTTTAGATTAATCATTTTTACGTGATTTTCATGTAACGCTACTAACGCAGGTATTTACATTACTCTTCAAACAACAGTGATTAAATTTGCTTATTAAAACTATTGCCAATCACTCAGATTGAGGTAAAACCAAGATAGAATCATTCTGAATCAGTTCTTTATATTGGAGTCCGCGCATTTCTTCTCCGCTTCTCTGATTTTCAAGTTTATTGCTTTCGCAGCTTTCTTGTTTAGTTCGAAAACTGGAAAATTTGAAAAACTATATAAAGAATAGACATATATCTTGCATTGAGTTAACTGTGTACGTCAGCGTGAAGAAATAAAAGCAATGCTGAAACGCCCTTAATTGAAACTATATCCTTACAAGTAGCTTTCATCTTTACTATACAGGGTGTCACGTAAATGTTGCGACAAACTTCTGGGGGAGCTAGAGCACATCATAAGGATTAAGAATTGCATAGGAACCCATGCCCGGAAATGTCAGAGATAAGTGGTAGTAGAGGTAGAAGATGATAAAGGAAACAAGAGAGTGATTCATTTGAAACATTTATTGGACATGAATACAAATGGTGTACGACAGCTTGAATGTTACGACAGATACTCGAAGGTTGCAGCATCAGACGCCAAACATACTTGACACCAAGGGACCATTGATTGCCGGACATGTTCAAACACACCGGGAATTTCTTTGATTGTAGCAGCTACGCAGGCGAGTCTTGCCACGAGAACCATTTCAGACACAACAGGATCGTGATACAGGACACTTTTGATGGCTCTCCACAAAAAAAAAATCAAAGTTCGATAAATCCGGTGAGCGTGGGGGCCAGGAATCCGGTCGCCACGCCCAATCCATCGATGCGGGAATGATCTGTTTAAATGGCTACGAACATCCAGTCCAAAATGAGAAGGCGCCCCATCATGTTGGAACCACATGTTGCGCCTCACATTTGATGGAGCATCGTTCAAGCAAGCCGGGAAGAACCTGCTTTAGAAAGATCAAATAATTCGCGGCATTCAACCTGAATGGTAAAAGGCAGTAAAAGGCGACTAAGAGTCGCCAACCAAACCCGCGCACACATTAAGTTTGAAGCGTTGTTGTGCCGCGAGGTGCCTATACCGTTGGGGGGTTTCTTGAGCCCACGAATGCTGATGGTGGTGACTGAATATGCCATCCCTACTGAATGTGGAATCATCCGTGAAAAACAAATAAGCTGGGAAAATAACACCACGGGTATTTTCTTGCAGAACCACTGTGCGAAACGTATACGTTCAGGATGGTCATCGGGGAGCAGTAACTGAAGCTTTTAGAGACAAAAGGCATTGAAGGACTTGGTGTACAAGACACGCTGGACACTGGTACGAGGCATTCTTAATTGAAAGGTAATGGCACATATGCTGGCCCTTGGATAACGCTCCACCTTATCCAACACAGTTTCTTCCTTAACGAGCGAGCGAGTCGATTGTGGCCTGCCCTCACTTGTCCTGCCACTTCTTAATGACCCGTAGTTGCACAAATTTTGACGCAGACGTGCAAACAAACTATGATTGATGTCTGTCAGGGATGCGTTATGGATAAATGCGTGCAGCGGCCTATCTATTACCCTCAGCTATTCCATACAGCACGTCTGCAAGTTCTCCGTTCGTATAGCGTTCCATTCTCTTCGTATAGTGCTTACTTGCTCGTATGAGGCAACCCTCACTTTCTACTAGCCCTCGGCTGTACAGCACCCCTGGCGTATACAATAACGTTTTTGAACATGGTTCTGTGGTGTTGCGTGTAAGTCACCATTTGACTAGATACTTACAAGTATCAAATCAAAATTACATGTGCCCAATATTTGCTGGCCAAAAAGAGATATCTCGTACATTGTGTTATAACCCATAAAATAGAGAATAATAAAATGCTTCACTTACCCCAAAATAATGCATAAAGTCTTCAGAGAACAATTTCTTTTTGTAGTCTCACTTTATTTAATTACTTAAGCATTATCTGGATTAAATACATCATATTAATAGCATAGCATCCAAAATATAAAAGAACTGCACAGTCCTGTGAAAATAGAAGGTCAATCTAAATCCAAGTTCATCTTCCGTTATCTCACTGGAAATTTCCAGCGATTCGCACACGCATTTCCATGTTGCATTACACAGTTTTTGTGGACTATTCCTTTAAATACATCATCTATTCCCAGCAAATTTATGCTACGTGCACGATGATTCAATGGACACGGCCTGAGCTGATCACTACGAGGTAACGACCCCATGACAACAACAACAGTCTTTTGATCAAAAATACATAGTAATAAAGCTAATTCTAGATAGATTATTTTACAGCATAATCACCTCATTTCGGATATTTCGTGCAATTTCGGATATTTCGTTCGTTTTCAGGCTGCTTCGCTTCTTCTTTTCCATCAAAAAAGACGCCAACATTCAAGGAGTGTGAGAGATGCAAGGTCCGAAACCCCGCATACTCTTTCGAGCCGTAGTCAGCAAAAAGAGGGAAAACCTGTTTGGCGTGTATTTATGCACGTGGTAGTTCTGCGATTCCGATTAATGTTACGATAGTGTCCATGATGATGAACTGCGTGGTGTGAGAAATTTCCGTTCTCACATGTTCCTATGCAATTCTTAATCCTTATGATAGACCCTACCTCACCCAGAAATTTGTCGCAACATTTACGGGACACCCTGTATATATCGTCATCAAAATTGATTTCAGTGCGCACACGCTCATGAGTGTACATTTCATTAAGCTGTGCGAATTATTTGTGTTTTGTGGTGCTCACCCACGCACCACCTTAGTATGCCTTAAAAAGCGCTGCTTTGTGTCTTTAGGTTTAGCTTCAACATCGAATGCGTAGTCGAAAGCATCACTACGATTGAGCACTAAGAGTTTGTTTCGTACGTATTTTTTCGCATATCTTTTTCTTTTTCTTTTAAAAATCAATTTAAACTTTTAGAACTGAAAAATGAATAAAGAACAGCTACAAATATTAAGCGTAAGAACTTTTTATTGTTAACACCAAAAATTTAACATTAACCGAAATACAAGAATATGGCGAACTGACAGTAAGGCTCGCCGAAGAATATGCAATTGGTCGCGCGAACGAATGTTTCGGTATCGATTCAGTTGAGCCCGGGCTTTCAGTGTTTGAGTGATTCGGATATCATTTCAAATTTTACAAAAGCAGAAGAGGTAGAGAGTGATATTGAAAATACAAGTAAAGAAGATAGTCTCAATTCATACTATATAGCATAAATCTGCCCAGCTTCGAAAAAAAAAAAAAGCACTAACCAGCACTGAATAAGGCTCTTCTTCATGGCTTAGACTTATCTCCTCGCAGTTTCCCCAGGGATAACCTAGGCGATTCGTTTTGGTTATGGACATCTCCACTGTTGTCATATCACGCGGTCGAACATTAACTCCATACTCGGATACAAAAGGTAAGGAGTGAGGATCATGAATAACAACACGTGCACCGATTTCTCTACTGAGAAGGGACAAGGCATTCTCGTCCGTCACTCTGAGAAGCAGCTGGAGACCTGTAAAAAGAATTTGGGAAAAGTTACAAATAAAAAGCTATAAAAATATAAGCTGGTCGAATATTTTATTACTTCAAGAGATTGCAAAGCAATTCTTCATATTTCTCAGGAAATAAATTTTTAAAACCTGTTTTCACTGATTTTCATTTACATGCTTAAAAGATCATTTTTGATTTTCGGTAAGTTTGTAAGGTATTTATCCCGCCTTCTTAGCATGCCTTCGTAGTGTAGTGGTCAGCACAGTCGGCGCGTATTCGAGAGGTCTGTGGTTCGAGGGCATTGCTCATTTTTCACGTCTCCTGCTTCGAAATAACCTAATGACTCTACAGTGGCGCGCGAACTAAAAAAGGTGATGGATGATGATTCTCCGCCGCCGGGATTTGGCGATTGAGTCCCCTAATCCCCAGTCGCCCTTTAAAACGGGGAGTATATAAGGTATTTCTCCCGCCTTCTTAACATGCCTTCGTGTTGTAGCGGTCTGCACGCTCGACGCGTATTCAAGAGGTCCGTGGTTCGAATCCCGGCGAGGGCATTACTCATTTTTCACATCTTCTGCTTCCAAAAAAATCCTAAAGTCTTTACAACTTGAGATCAGAATTATATGAGTTTTACGGTTTAGCAGAAATTATCCAAAGTTGTGAATGACTCTGAAGATCTCAGTTGGTAGATTACCTATCGGAAATCAACACTTACTTTCGATAAGATTTGCCAGTTTACCATCAATAAGAAATGCCAGTTTTCGGATTTATTTGCATTCTGCTAGCGAAAACTTTTATATATAGTTTTTACTTCTCTAATATGCTGCATTCTTGTTCTGATTGTATGATTCTGTGAATAAGAACCTAATTTTAGATATTACTTGTTTTCTATCCGCATGAAATGGTAACGGAACATCAAGCCCAGTTTTTCAAACACGATTTAATATTGGCTGATAGCCAATGATAATAATTTCTGCCTATGTCGATATGTTTAATCGGTTTTTGCTTAGGCTGTTACTTTAGAGAATGAAATTTCTGTAAGGAAATAATTCCATCATCAGCTTTGTTGAAGAGAAAATGCACAGTGGTAAAAGAACATCATCCAATAAATTTATTGCGCTTGTTAACTTTGCAAATGAGGATATTAATTAGAGACTACTGAACGTTATATCAATCAACTGAATAAAATATTATTTGAATTAAAATAATGAAATAATGAAATTAATAATTTAATGTTCAAGGAAGATTATGCAGTTGATATTCAGAAGTGCGGAATGTATTTTGATGATTGTGAACAAGCTATTTGTAAAGATAAAGGTTGCTCGTAAAGTTAAAAAGAACCCAGTATAAAAAAAGGTCTGCCTAATTTAATTAAAAATAACATTCAAATATTACTTGTGGATAACTCTCAATGTCCTTGTATTGAAGTAAACTTCACTTCTTTCATGGTTTAAAATTCTCAGTTTCTGGGAATTGATAAACATTACAAGGTTATTTGGAAAGGGAACTTAATAAATTAATTGATATACCTAGCAAATTTTTCACGGCACACCAAATAACCAAAAATACACTAATAAAGCGTTATAGAAATTGAAACGGAACAATACAAGCGCATTTGGGTTTTTAAAAATGCCTAAAGCTAGTGTATTATCCAGCACTATAGGCTGTCTAATGAAATTTATATTTTAAACATATGGAAATTTTATAAAGATTGAAAGACAACATGGATGTGTATAGTCGAATTTTAGCACCCAAAATACACAGAAATATTTCCACCGTAATGTTACATAAAAAACGTATTTATTAACAGGGTAAAAACATTTTAAATAGAGATATAATTAAACGAACTGTATTTTAAATATAAAAATTGCAAATTTTCTAATTTTTAAAAAACATTATCATAAATTTACAAGTAAAAAGAAGTTCACTACTTAAGTTAAAAAAGGCTGATAATAGATAAGAATAGATAAATATAGATAAATATCCCTTAAAATAGATAAGAATTTCTTTGATTCTTAATTCATTAACTAATTAATTAAAGCCGACATAATTGCCTATTTGGCTAAGTAATCTTTAATGACGCTGGCTACGTTATATTTTGTTTGAATGTACTCTTTGCAGAATAACTGATTTTGATTGTTGGATTTTGAAAATTTACATGGATATAGACCAGGGATAGGCAAACGTTTTCGGTTGCGGGCCAAAAATCGGGGAAAAAAAAAAAAAAAAAAAAAATGTTTGGCGGGACAAGCTAAATTTTTCTAAAATTATAAAAACAATATATAAGTATAACAATTTAAATATGTTAATGAGATTAATGAAATTCCGATTTCATTTTTAAAAGTTCCTTATATTGAGGTTCGAAGTGAGATGTACTGATTTGAAGGAGCGAGGCTAAATGCTCATCTGTCAGTCTACTTCTGAAATAATTCTTTCTAAGGTTCATAGTTGAAACATTTGTTCCCATATATAAGATGAAGCAAACATAGCACTGATTTTATGGGCGTGAGATATTAAATTCGGGAAACTTACTTTCGATAATGATTTGTAAAACTCTAACTTTGGCATATTTAGAAACAACTGATTGAGATGATTGTTAGATTGCAACTCAATTAATTCAAGCTGCAAATCTGACCACACTGCTTCACAATATACGTTGAAAGGCATGGTAAAAAATATCCACTTCTGTTTGAATGGCACTGAAATCTTGAGATCTGGATACTGTTTATCTTCTTGAAAAACGTTTGTCGGTCTGATAATGTTTTACAAAGACTTTCTGCATTTTGGTTTCTTTCATATACGGACATTCTTTCGTAATTGGAATTCTTATGCTTAGATGTGAAATGACGGAAAATGTTATATTCTTTGAAGACGGCTACAGCTTCATTACAGATGAGACACACTGGTTTATCTTTTACAACTGTGAAAAGATATTTCCAGGTCCATTTATCATTAAAAGCATGGCACTCTGAATCGACTTTACGTTTTTTAGTAGCCATTTTGGATTGAAATATCAGGACTTTGTTCGAATTAGCTCGACGGCTTTAACCGCTAGTAGCAGTTTTTCATCTTCTTATGCTACATTTTTCTATCTTTCAGCTTTCCAAAACCAAAATTTATGTAACTACTGTTTATATGTTTTTTATGACTTTTGTTGTTTTCACACTTTTGTTCTAGGAAATAACTGGTTACCTCATCTCACATCTTTCGAAGCTACCAAATGTTCTACAACGGGTTAGGCTTTCGGCCTAGGCACCCTGGTGTCTCAAACACCGCTCTACTGGGGAGGTGGATTGAAATATTTTACGAATAACCCAAACAAGCACTAGCTACGCTATACTTTTACTAATTTCCCCACTATTGACAATGATGCTATATGTCCGCAACTTTTCCATACGCAATCAATAAATATTAGAATTCGCGCCAAGAAAAAGCCGCTGGCTGGAGCTTAAAAAAAAATGCACAGTCTGCCACATGCGAAGTCTAATTCACCTACATTAGATTCTACATTAGATACATTAGATATGTCTACATTAGATACATTAGATATGTCTGCTCCCCAAGAAAGCGATAATGCTTGTTGGCGCCAGTCTACAGCTATAATTAACAAAGAACTTCCCGCTTTTAACACTTGACCGATTGAAAGTTGTCTGTACTTGCAATTTCCGTCATTTTATGTTTTGTAGAACAAAAATATAGAAAGTAAAATGATCATCAGTCCTTTCAAAAAGAGGAAGAAAAGAAATAATATTTAAACGAAGTAGAAAAGGAGATGGATATATAATATATAAATATGTATTTCTTTTAAGTCGCCTCGGACCGGCAAATTAAAATTCTATCCGTGGACCGGATAGAATCTTCCAGCGGGTCGTAGTTCACCCATCCCTGATATAGACATTCATGAATCTTTTATTTAAACATCGTTCAAACTTAACTTTTATGAACGACAAAAACTAATCTTTTATTTAACGAACTAAATTAAAAAACTGAAACAAACAAACAAACAAACAAAAAATAAATAAATAAATAAATTAAAAAAATATAATAAAATAATATAATAATAATAATAATAAATAAATAAATAAAATAAAATAAAAAATAAATAACAAAATAAATAAAAAAAATAAAAAAATATAATAAATAAAATAAATACAATAAAAAATACAAATAAAAATAAAATTCAAATTTAATTGTTTCAAAGAAAAGAGAATTATGATTTTAACATAAAATAAGGGGAATTTGTATGTAAAAGAAAGACTAACAATTACTGTAGTGAAATAATACATTGATGTATATTTGTTCTGCAAGTATATTTTGTTATATATAAATAAATGAGTAAACGAAGTTTGTATCTTTTTTTATGCATACGTATTAAGTTTAACACGCAAATTGCTTATTGGAGGTATGTGTATTTTATTGATTATATAAATAAAATTAATGGTCTTAATAATTGTTTCTTAGATCTATATTTATTATTCAGTGTTATTATATTTTGGTGATATATAATGTCACCCAAAAAATATTTCTTTCGAAATTAAATCTAATTTGTTTAATTGATTGTATTGAACGGGTATTTATGTTGCTGAGTTTATTTCTGATGGTGTCGTAGCACACCAAAACTTATTGAATTAAATAACGCAAATCTTTCTGTTAGTTATTTTACAAGGGTAAAGATTTTATTGTTAATAAAACTTCACTTAATAGAATATTTAAAATGGAGATTTTAACTATATTTGCTGTGGTATTATTCCAAAATTTCAGGATGAATTTACTGCATATAAATATGGCATTAGATAAAAAATAAAGCTTTTAAAATTTAACCTGCATTTAAACAATATTAATTTTAATTATCAGTCTCCTTTCTAATTTTAAGAGGTGTAAATTTTAAAAGCACCAGTATTTAATTTACATTAAATATCTTTTTATAAAAGTAATTAAACATTTTCAAACATAGTTGGGCTTATAATCGGCCAAACTGAAAAAGCTTTGAAATTTCTTTTTAAGGAACATGAATCTTATGTTTGAAAAGGACAAATAAACAAATCATCGATAACTAATAACAGCCGGGCACCTAACCATAGTTTGATTTTGGATTTTCAAAAATTATCTATAAAGCTTTTCCAGTTCGTAAACTGGACGTCCTTGAAGTATTTCACATCAAAAATTCTTTTTTTTAATGATTTTTATTACAATACAGTTTTTTTAAGGCATTCAAAAGTATAATATCTCAGCTGTTTCACATTTCATTACTATCTTCCTGCACAGATCACCCCATTCGTTCATTTTCTATATAAATCGTTTTTCTACCATCTACTCCTGTAATTTTTTTGGTTGCTGAAATAAAATCTGTAATTTTTGTCCTCTGATCTACTCCTTTAATTTTTTTGTTGGTTTGAAAAGGGACAGACTAGTGTCTAACCACTCTGGAAATCAGTTACCTAATATGATGCTCTTTTGTCTAAATTTATATTTATATAAACACCAAATAAAGACAAAAATTTTGGTACTTGTCCGTAAACCTTCTTGCTGTGTACCGTAAAAACAGCCTCTTGTCAGGTAAATATCGACAAATTTTACAAAATCATTGTCGCATGTTTTGTCTATATGTACATGTTGACAATTAAATATATTGTCGGCTAAATCTCTAATCTGCTAAGCGTCCCATCAACTAAATGGACATGTCGGTTAAGTCCTGTTTGCTAAATAGATAAACGATGGCTGACTGACATATCGAGCAAATGCCTTGTGTACTAAATGGTCGCATCGGCTAAATGCCCTGTCGGCTAGCGACCAAGTGTCTTTGTCGGCTAAATGTCCCAAAACTATTTGTTTTTCGTAATTTATGGTATGCATATGACTTTTCTAGCTAGCTATTTGAGTTTTCCTTCAGCTTTTCTACTAAATGTCAGTTTAAAATAACGTCATTTATGATACGACAAAAGGAATAATAATATTTTCTGTGCATGTTAAATGTAGAACACATAGTTTTACGGATCTGTTTGCTAAATAGATAAACGATGGCTGACTGACATATCGAGCAAATGCCTTGTGTACTAAATGGTCGCATCGGCTAAATGCCCTGTCGGCTAGCGACCAAGTGTCTTTGTCGGCTAAATGTCTCAAAACTATTTGTTTTTCGTAATTTATGTTATGCATATGACTTTTCTAGCTAGCTATTTGAGTTTTCCTTCAGCTTTTCTACTAAATGTCAGTTTAAAATAACGTCATTTATGATACGACAAAAGGATTAATAATATTTTCTGTGCATGTTAAATGTAGAACACATAGTTTTACGGATTTGTTTATTGAAATAGATGTGTTAGTTAAGTAAATGCTTACCACTTTTGCTTCCATAAGTGTAAGTTTCTATGGGGGATTCTCCTCCACTTCCGACATAGTTAAACATGTAACATTTACCATAATTTGGATGATACAGAACAGTAAAATTTCTAAAATTAAAGTGAATAATTAGTCACTATAAGAATTACATTAAAATATAGGTTTTTTAATTCAAAAATTTAACGGGGAATAAAATTGGGTTATAGAAACAAATATTTTGGAGTTCAGAAATGATTATATATCAGATATTTAAATTCACAATAGCATGTTAAAAAGTTGTGTAAAGCATTTCTTCAACAGATAACATTAACCAGAAATCTAAAACTTTACTTCAGCCATAAACTTTACAAAGCAAATACCAATTTTCAAGTTGCAAATAAAATAAATATACAACGGTCTGTATGTATGCTGTGTAATGGTAGATGGCAATTCCAAACGTGATTTTTAAGTTTAATTTTCCATCGAAGTCTATTTTATCCCCAGACATAGTCTGGAGGGTAACGCTTGGCGGCATCCAGATGGGTTTACCTTCCAGTTGTTGAGCAAAATATTTTCGGGTATGGTAAAAATTGGCTTCTGTATCGATGGTCACATTGCAAGCTATTCAATTACGATACCCGTAACAGTACCAGCACTCAGTAAACAAAGAGAATGATTACTTACAGGGACCGGACCAAAAGGTCCCCAAATGTTAGAATGTTTGACGAGGTTTGGAGATTTCTCACCAAATTAGCGAAACAACCATTTATTGAATGTTAAATAGACTTGCTTCTGTATTCTTATTTTTCCGGCAGAGCATCATTTCGCTCAAACTTTTCATATTATAATAGAGAGAGAAATACCACTATTTCACATATAATTTTACTAAAATTATCTATCTGTGGGCAAAATTCATAACAATATATATATTTCTTTTTGTTAAAAAAAACAAAATCTCCCTCTTTCTGTTCTCTCCAAGACAGTACAACATGGTGAACATAAGAGTAGCTTCGCCCTTCCCCACAAAAATAGTTGAATGTCAATTAAAATTAGCCCTACTTTACAAAAGTAACAAAGAGGAGAAAAAAAGTTAATTTTGAAGAAATTAAAACTCCAGTTTCACTGGTCACGTTTACATTAAAATATTTAAGTTGTTTTGAAAACATTGCTCGAATGAACCAAAGGCAGAAGGCAGTAGGGAAGCAAATGTATCACATCTTGCAACACCTTTCGTTGAGAAACCATGCAACTCACTTGGCTTAACGTTAAACTTATGCAAATAATTAGTAAAGTTGCTATGCTCAGAAATTATTTGCATAGTTGTAAATTTGTAATAAAGGAAGAACCAGATTTACGCCTGTGTCTAATGAAAAGAAGAAAAATATTTTCAGTATCACTAACTTCCTAGATGAGGCAAACACTTCATTTTATATGGCAATGGTACTTTTATGACAAATGTTTTTCGAAGTTCCTGGAAATCATATACTCAAAGTATCTTGAGCTAAAACTTCATATCGTCTTTTATCGTGAATTTCACAATGTCTACGTACATAAGCAAAGAGAATACAGAGGCAAGTCTGTTTAACATTGAGTAAATGAATATCTCGGTAGATTGTTTAGAAATCGCCAAATGTCACGAGACTTGGCGACAATTTGGTGAAATTTTAGTAACCTATACGCACGCAACACTACTACTCTTCAGAGAACTTACAGTCAAAGCCGATTCAATGAATGAATTTTCTGCTTTCGAAGTGTTCATTAATAAATTATTACTTAAAAGCTATTCTGAGTAGTGCTTAATTTCTAAATTTAAAAAACCAGAACCCTATAAAGTGCCGCTAAAAATGTTGAATGAAAATATTCTCTTTTTCAAAAAAACATCGAAGCACCCAGAAGGACTCTCGCGATCATGACACAGTTTGGTATTCAAAAACATCTTGATCGAACATGCAAATGATCAAAGTTTCAGGGCAAATGAACAGGAATTGCGATCTTAGCGCGCATTTCTAGTGCGCAGTTCGCAAAGTATAAAACCAGAAACAGAATTAGTAGCGGAAAATTTATCTTTTTTAGTTTCATCCATTGTAATTCCGTAAAGAAGCAACTAAGATGTCCTTACGAAGATATCAAAGACCTCACAGAAAACCGAACGACTTCGAACGTGGTCACATTGTAGGGTTGCGTGAAGCTGGGCGGTCATACCGAGCAATAAGCCGCCATCTGCAGCGTACAGACACTTCTGTGCTAAGATTTTGGCAGCAATGCTTGCTATAAGGAAATTGCTGACGAAATGAAGGCTCTGGAAGACCAAGGAGCACAAATGCGAGGAAAAATAGGATGATTGTTCGCCAGGCCCGAACCATCCCAATGGTATCTTTGACGACTATTTAACGCACTACAGCCACGTGCATACCTCCCGTGGTACCATCTACCATCTTACGGCGCTTGGCTGAGGCGGGGTGACGCTCACAGTGGACTTTAAGGCATTTGCCTTTGACCCCACTACATCGGTGGAGTCGTCTGGAGTGGTGTTGCCCGCGATATGTTGATACCATCCTGCGGCTGGTGCATTACCTTTCATGGCACGTCATCCTGGGACCATTTTCCAAGAAGATAATGTCAGGTCAGATATCACTCGCATATCTCTGTACTGTCTCCGAGCGGTTGATACTCTTCCTATGTGAGCAAGGTCACCAGACTTTTCATCAATCGAACATGTCTGGGACATAGAAGGTCGCTAGATTCGGGCATCACAAAATATCATAGATCTGGAGCGACAACTGATGAATGCCTGGCAGAATGTGTCGCAGGATGACATTAGGAACCTCTACCACTCCTTGCCTCGACGGATTCAAGCATGCATTGCCCGCCTGGGGCGGTTCGACCAACTACTAATTTGAACACTCAATGGGTAATCACCCATTGAGCCGTGAACAGGTAGTATGACTTTTATTTTTTAATCATTTTATTATCTGTGTATGGTATTTTACACAGATATTATTATGTATTTTACTATCCACTTCCTTCCTTCATGGTGCTTCAATTTTTTTACAAAAGAGTGTATATAAATAAAATAATAAATGTTTAGCAATTAAAATTTATGAAATTTAAAGAGATATATAAAACGTTAAATTAATGAATATCGGATAAATAATAGATTAAAATACCGGAGATAATAATTTTTGAAACTTCAGCTGGAATTACAGTTTTACGCGGATCAAGAAGTAATCTGTTCTCTGCTGGGTGTCTGTTAAATTTAAGCTTTGATTTTGAGTTCGAATTTCCATTTCGAGTTCTTTTGACCTCTACAGAAATATAGTGCAAGCTGCCTGAAAAATCATTCCGGATGCGATGTTTATCAAAGCGAGGCTCAGACTCATTTTCAAAAACGACAAACGACCAATCACATCGCTCATTTCATTATAGCCCGCAAAGAAAAGTTTTAGAAGGAAGTACTTTTCATTGTTCTCATAATTAATTAATTGTACAGGTGTTTAATTTGAAAGAAATCCGATTTTTAAAGTAACATTCCATCATTAGAATCCATTTATATTATATGCCACTGGTGAATTCGAACATTCTCGTAATCGTTAATTCATAAAAATTGTGCTGAAAGGGATGAGTCTTACTCTCTGTAACAACTAGCTCCTTCGAAACTACAAGAGGAAACCAGACTATCGAAGGTACCACCGTAATTCTGTAGTTCGGTGGGGCTTGGTAGCAAAGCTTCTTCCACATCCACCAGATCGTTTGTTTGAGCGTTTATAACCAAACGTGCCACATTTCTCACTTCTTTGTCTTGTATAAGATCCAAAATTCCTGCAAAATATTGTAGATGCGTTACTTCTACTAATTGTCTCATCTGCTTATCAAAAAAAATCTATGCTAGCATTTCAAAATTTTAAAATAAGTAGATCAAGAGAAGTTAAAAATTTTTATTGAAATTATTGTAATATTAGATACAGTAGAGTCCCGCACACACGACTCCCGAAATCTCGACATTCCGTATATTTCGACAACTAATTTAGGAGCTTTTTTAAGATATCTATAGGTCAAACAGAGCAAATATTGCATGCAGTACTTATAATTATTATTCATGCGTATGTCTTTCCTGTTCTGTTCAAAGATTTGAGTGTTCGTTTTCTGTAACTTCTGCCGTTTTGTGTGGCGAATATGAAAATGTGAGGAAAGCACCTTATTTATGGCTCAGGCAGCAAAGGGAACAGGGGACACTCATTCCAGGAACAATAAAAGAAAGCTCTAAAATTTTACGATGAATTTCAAGAAGGAGAGCCTGGATTTATTGCTAGTGCTGGCTGGCTTCACAGATGGAAAACGCGATACAGCATCAGGCAGTTAAACGTTTGTAGGGGAAAGCTATCTGCTAAATCGGAAAATGCTGCAGTATTCAAGGATAATTTCCTTAACCTAATTGAAAAGGAAGGTGTATGTGGAGATCAAATATATAATTGTGATAAGACTGGTGGGAATTTTTGAATGCTACCATCGAAAACCTGGCATCCATGGAAGAAAAATCGGCACCTGGCTACAAAAGAAGTAAGAAGAGAGTCACAATCTAGCCATACAGTAATGCAACACCATAAGCTCAAACTAGCGCTTATAAGAAAATCAAAAATTACCCGAGCATATAAAAACATGGAGAAAAGTACACTAATAGGACCGAAACCAACTTTGATCTTCCTGTTTGGTACCGGAATCAGTTAAACGCATAGATGAATGGAATTGAGTTGAGTTGAGTTGAGAGCAGAATCTTAGCAATATTTAATGATTGGGTTTCATCAGCTGCTCATTCCATCAGTGCAAAAAGTTTTAAAATCAAAATACGAACTACCGAGGAAGGCGATTGTCACTGTAGATAATGCCTCATTCCGTCCTGATGCAGAACAGTTATGAGACGAAGATATAAGAGGCATGTTTCTCCCTACTAACATAACTTCAGTGTGTCAGCCGATGGACCGGGGTATTTTGGAGGCATTGAAGAAAACCTATAGACGCAAACTTCTTTCTTCTCTTGTCCTAGTCATGGAAAAAGGGTGTGATATGATCCAGGAACTGAAGAAAATAGATATGTTGGATATTGTTGGATGAACAGCTCATTCTTGAAGTGAAATCGAGTAGATAAGCCTCGTTCGTTCTTGGAGAAAGTTGCTGGATCATCGAGGAAACGAATTCCACGATAGCAGAGATGAGACGGAAAATTATGATATAGATGATTTGAGAAAATTACAGACAGCAAAGAAATTACTGATGGTGATATTGAAGAATGGATGGGGTAAGAGGAAAATAGGGAAATTTTAGGACAAGTAGAAGTAGTTGCACTAGTGAAAGACAATGTGGATAAAAATGAAAATGGATCAAAAAACGAACAGATGAAAATCGTGATATTTTAGGACAAGCAAAACAATGTGGATAAAAATGAAAATGAATCAAAAAACGAAGAGATTGAAAACAATGGAAAAACTAAAATGATGACCCATAGTGAAGGACTGAAGGCCACTGAAGGAATGCTCCGTTACATAGAAAAGGAAGGTGTATCTGGTATGGACATTTTGTTCCTCTGTCGTCTACGGGATGAAGCTGCACGACGACTGAATGAATGTGAGAGACAATCTACAAGCTCACGATATTTTTTCTACCAGGAACTACTAATAATTTTTATCTTAATTTTTGTATGTTACTAAACTATCTTAGAGTATTTGTTCTGACTCTAATTATGCTAGAATTTGACATAAAAGTCAATATTAATCTATCATAAAAGTGAAGCAAGAACCTGTGTTAGGCGTAGATTTTTAACATAGAAACCTCTATCGATTTAGAAGACGATCAAAGAGTCCCTCTTCATCAGGAGCAAAGAAGGACTTTGTTCGCCTTCGAAATCGATAGAATTTGTGTTAAAAATCTACACCTAACAGGTTGTTGCTTCCCTTTTATGATTTATTTGAGTCGTGTTTCTCTTCTGCCAACAATTGTATGCTGTACCTTTCTGTGTTCAATATTGTGCTACTAATGTCTAGAGTAATTTGCAGTTAAATGTTAAGAGTCCTAAAAAAAAAAACCCACCTCTTATTCCGTAAAACTCGACAGTCTCTCAGTCCCCATTATGCTGAGTTTGCGGGACTCATGTGCAATAACAAACCATAATTTTGCAGCCAGCGTCAGCAATAATTTCAGTGGATGGACAAAAATATGGAAACACCTTGTGAAATGCATGCTTGAAAAGAAAGATTGATTTTAATGAAATATGTACGTGGCGCTGGCTTTTTTGACTACTGACGTCACCTATACAACTTCGTAAATGTGCTAAACAGTTCAGTTGTTGTCGGAGTACTGTTATGTGAGGTTGTCATTGCATTATGTCAGAGTTAACAGACATCGAACGTGGGCAAATTGTTGGAGCACGTATGGTAGGTGCTTCCGTAAGCAAGGTAGCCGAGGTGTTTAGTGTTTCAAGAGGTACTGTATCGAAGATTTATTCCGCATATTTGAAAAGCGGAAAACATCATCTGCTATCTGCTAAATCACAGCGCGGACGAAAGTGTGTCCTGAGTGATCGTGACAGACGATCATTAAGGGCAATTGTGACGAAAAATAAGAAGACCACAGCTGCAAAAGTTACTGCTGAAATGAATGTTGTGTTACCGAACCCTGTGAGTACCAAAACAATTAGAAGGGAGCTTCATAAACAGGAAATTGCTGGCCGTGCTGCAATTGAGAAGCCACTCATCGGTGATGCTAATGCCCGTAACAGGAAAAGGTGGTGTTTAAGTCATAAAGCCTGGACTATAGAGCAGTGGAAGCGAGTAATATGGTCTGACGAGTCTTCTTTCACATTGTTTCTGGCCGAGTTTACGTCTGGAGAACGACATCTCAAGCCTATAATACAGACTGCTTGTTGCCAAGAGGGAAACATGGCGGGGTTTCTGTTATGGTTTGGGCAGCCATATCGTGGTTCTCTGCTAGCCCCATGATAACTGTGTCAGGGCACATGACTGCCAAGACTTATGTGAACATTTTGGCCGATCAAGTTCATCCCATGGTACAAACTTTGTTCCCCGATGGTGATGGTGTCTTCCAAGACGGCAAAGCCCCTGTTCACACAGCTCGCATTGTCCAGGACTGGTTTTCTGAGCACGAGGATGAGTTGTCCCATCTCCCCTGGCCACCACAGTCACCAGACCTGAATATTATCGAACCTTTGTGGTCTACATTGGAACGGAAAGTGCGTTCTCGTTATCCACCGCCAAAATCGTTATCTGAACTTGCCACCGTTTGCAGAATAATTTTGCAGAAGAATGGTATAATATTCCCTTGGCAAACATACAGGAACTGTATTTATCCATTCCGAGAAGACTGCAAGCTGTTTTGGATGCCAGAGGGTTTCCTACACCATATTAAGCAAAGAAACATGTTTTTTCAAAGGTGTTTCCATATTTTTGTCCAACCCCTGTAATAATGTGTTTATAAAGGAGTTAATTTATTGAACTTATACCAAAGAGATGGCAAATCAAAGACAATGTTTATTAGTATATCTAATTTTGATTTCGTTAAAATATACTTAGCTTATAGAAATAAGTTTAAATTAAATTATTCGATTTACTTTATGCAAATGATATCTATCATTGTGCTTTTAATAATAGAAGAGTAAAGAATGTATTCTTCAGAAAATGTAATTGCCGTCAATCGGCTTACTGAAAAAAAAAATGTATAGCTATCCTTACTCTTATTATTTTCTGGTCATATTTGGCATTTGTAGATTACTTTCTATTCCTTTCTTCAAAATGGCTCCATTTTTAAATAGTTAAGCGATTCATAAAACCATAGCAATGGGTTAAATTTGCTCCAAAACTTACTTTCCCGAAAGAACTGAAAGAATTTGAAAACGCCAGGAGCTGTATAGCATCAGAAGGAATATCTGTTGAAGGCTGTAAAGAAAACAGTCAGTAACTAAACTGCTTTCTTTAGTTCTCGACTTTTCATGATTCGATATTAAAATTTTGCAAGTGATCTATTAATATATTCGACCTGCATTTTCAAATATGCGAATACGAAACACAAGCTTTTCTTCGGTATACGCATTTGCCTATCCAAGCATCAGCTTGGACCTGATTGATAAAACTCGCGGATTTAAATTTCAGTCGACATGGAAATTTTCAAATAGTATAGTTGTAGGGTTTCTCTTAGTTCAATTAACAAATTATTCAAATTTTTGTTTTCTTTTCTGAACTCCTCAACTTCCCCTCGCATTTCCTCGCCAGGATGCAAATTTAAATTTAAGTGAAGTGAGTGTTTAAACGGGTCAATCTTGGAGTTTATTCACAGCGTGTTTTCGCTAGCTAGCGCAAGTTACGAATCTGTCCTTGCTGTTACGTGGGGTTGCTAATATTCCTTTTTGGCCATTTCAATAACTATCCCGCCGGGTAGGTTGTCGAATCAACCTAATTAGCCTTCTCTTAAAGTGCTAGACCAGTACTACTCTTTAACCTTGAACATACAGTAAGTTCCACTGAAAGTTGTCGGTGTTAATGTAAAGCACGAAATACGCGCCTTCCTGTTCACAGTACATAAAAATAAAGGGATACTTTTACCCTTCTTCTGTGGTTGTTTCCTTTAAGCCTGTGTGAGAAAACGCCAGGTTCCTTAGTAGAATCTCATAGAGTTTATGTGGCCAAAGAGATTACGATCCTATATAGTATTCATCGTATATGATATAAATTTGTTACTTGCGACTTAATAAAATAACTTACTTGCGGCAAAGCAGCGCTTTGCATAAATGACTTACAGAATTTAACTCAATGTAACTCGTAAAAATTATAACTCCAGAATCTCGTCCATGACTATGTT